TTCTCACACTGAGAAGAACGTGGTGTGCTGTTTTTTGTAGCCCCAGAGAGTGTAATTAGGCTGTCTTCTTGAAACAAATTGAGTGCCGGTTTGCCAATAGGAGGTGCCACTATAATTCAATACGCCGCTCTGTTTGACATGGCAGGGTTTGCCCATGGTCTGCCCCAGAGAGAACATCCTCCAATCGAGAAGCCTGGGAACCTTTGCTCTGTCAGTTCATCCTACTTGATCTAAAACAGCCACTGGGTGCTACGAGGGTGCGAACTGTCCAAGAAAGGGTTGGGATGCCTCGTACCATTCCATGTTTGGAGTTGCAGCTGCATGCACTTTTTTCTGTGAGTTGTCAGATTTGTCAGAGAGTTGTGTCATGTTGTATCCATATACCATCTGTATTTACAGGTTTCAGCAGGGGTAATTCCTATTACACCCAAATGGACTGATAAACCTATAAACCGGGAAACACCGTTAAGCTAGCAGCTAAACCCTTTTTGGACTGAGCCGCAATGCTAGTCAGCATATTACTATAGTACAGCTATGTTTTACATGGGATGCAAATACACCCCCCTCAGGTGAGCCGGACACGGCAAGGCTGCCCATTTACCAGGGCGAGGCTTTTACACCTGCCTTACCGAGCCAGCTCTTTGCAGACCTGAGGAAAACATACAAAAGTACAGCGGCTATATACAAACGATCGTCAATGCAAGCAGTGTCAAAATTTATCCCTCTTCCCATTCGACTCGGCCATGCCTGATAACCTTTTGGTACCAGCGCCCATGCCACTTCTGCCACTCATTGGTGAACTGTCGATCTTCACGGGAATGACTTTGCTGAGGGCGATTGAGCCACTGACTTGCTGACGTGGATGATGAGGCTACCTCTACGCTTGTGGATGGTCGGGCAACCGGTTTGGCGGTGCCTTTCTTGGAGGGACCTTGGCCGTACGCTCCAGTCTGCTCAGCTTTGCGCTTGGCCTCGTTTTGTTCGCGGGCCCTGTCAGACTGTTTCTTCTTCTCTGCTGCGTTCTGCTTGTACAGCTCTTCATTTTGTCCCTTAATCCACCTCAGATGACGTTCGGCATCATGAACAGCAATGTTGTCAACACCAGTGCAAGACAACAAAAGATTGTGTCCAGGATTTCTGTTGAGGTAGTCAATGTACTCTTCTTCGGAGTAGATCTCGGTTCGGTACATGTAGAACCATGGCTGGTCAATGTACCTGAATGATTTCGGGACATCAAGACGGCTTGCCAAATCCAAGTAAACCAGCCTCATCGCGTCGTGCTCAAGCTGAGATTGCTCAGAAATACCCATCTTGACCTGAGCTTTGGTGCGACCCGGCTTTGGCAAATGTGCAGACTTGAGGAGGTCGTACCTTTCACAATCGTACTCGTTCTCCCCCTCGTTCAACACGCTCTCTGCGAATGTGGCGTCCTGGGCAAACCTGTCAGCCACAGACACATAGCCTAAGCTCAAGGCACGGTCGAAACGACTCTTCGCCCTTGCCAACAAATTGGCTTCCGGACTTGAGCTTCCCCTTGCCTGGTCGTCCAACAAACCCAAAGATTCAAGCTGATCGTGTGTGATGCTCTGCAGGTACTCACCACGAAAATCATAGTACAAGCCCAGCTTGTGAAGGGCGGCCTTCCTTCGTTCTGCAATCTTGGTTCGGTCGGCCTTGTTGATCCCTTCGAGCATCAATCCACACACATCGCATTCAATCTGTCCCTTGAAAGTCTGTGCAAAACATCTTGAGCATTGCGTGACTTCGATCTTGACCGGCACCGGCTTCTTGTCCTCCTTCTTCACCTCTTTCTTCGAAGGTTGGTCATCGCCTTTAGGGCGAGACTTCTGCTTTGGCACCAGTGACTTTGATGTTGCTGCTGGCGTCTTTTTGGGTGACTCTGCAACTGGAGCTTTTGGATCTTTCTGCACTGCCTTTGGTGGTGCAACTTTTGGAACAGGCTCCAAGAAGGCCGCAGCCGATGATGCCGCAGGCACAGCTGCGGGCACGCTTGTCAGGGCTGCCTTCTTCTTTGCAGGTTCATCCTTTGCCGCTGCATCAACTTCTGAGGTCACAGCTTTTGGAACTTCTGGTGCATGAGGTGCAGAAGTCCCTTCCTTTGGTGATGATTTTGGAGGTGTCTTTGGCGGTGTCTTTGGTCCTTCAACCTTTGCTGCAGGAGGTTTTGGAGCTTCACCCTTTGGAGGAGGGGGCAACAGTCTGCTGCTTGCATATCCAGGCATACCGGCAAGTTGGGCCACATTTGGTGGCGGAGGCTTCACCTTTCCTGGGAAAAATGTCTTTGCAGCGGGCGCGCCAGTTGAGGCGGCCGGAGATTTGGAACCCGTCCTTTTTGATGCCTTGGCCTCAAAGGTCTCGACAAGCTGCTGGACTCCAACTTCTCCCCCACTGCTCGCTGCAGACTGTGCAATCTCCTGCTGGCGACGATAAAGATTCACCTTCTTGGCCGTGTCATCGACAGAGATGATGTATTGTGGCGGGACGACATCGCTTGTGAGAATGCCGTCGGAAGCTGTTCTGAAAAACACAATTCCAGCCTTGACAGCTTGTGCCATTGCAACCCTGATTTCAATGGGTCGCTCAGCACGCAAACCACTCACATACTCTTTCTCATCAACACGAACGTCGCTAAAATAAGAGTGAGCTCTTCCTGACGAGTTTCGTTCTCCTCCTCCAGCCATGAAGCCATTCTCAATGATGCCCTTCCAATTGCCTTTTGTAGTCCTGTGATAAACTACGCCAGGGCACATCTGAGGAGTGGTAATCTTTTTACCTTTGGCGTTCATTTTCTGGATCGCTGCTGCTCCAGACAGAGCATAGATTTCCACTGCGTTGAACGTGTCCTCAGCTGAAGCGGCTTCCATGGCACGTTTCGTATGCCCCTGCACTGCGCGGATCCTGATGGGCCAGTAGGCTAACCCTTTACGGGTTGCCTTCTGGTACCCGGCAACGCACTGGAACTCAAAACGGCACTTGTTGTCCCAGTAGAGCAATGAGATGAGCTCTTCAACTGTCATTCGGGGCAACTTGGCTGGCAGCATTTGGTTGAACATTCGAAAGAAGTCATCAAGGTCAAGCCACATGTTTTCATCAAATCCAGAGGTGTCCTGCACTGACCCGGCTGTCCACGCGTCACTGCATTGACCTTGGTCTTGTGTCGGTCCATGCGATCTGGGTACCTCAGCTCCTTTGCCCCATCCATCTCCCAACAGGTTTTGACGATCAATTCGTAGGGATGGGCATCAACGACGCAATGTTCAACTACTTCTGCATTTATATTTTCGTCCAAAGTGATGCGATATTTGTCAAGGTGCCCAAGTGCGTGTTTCGGAATGATGGTACCCTTGATCTCGTTTTCTTGCAGGGGCTCACCAGCTGAGGTGGCCTGAGTTGAATCCTCCTGCGTCGTCTGAGGTTTCGCCTTGGGGTCAGGCGGAGCTGCGTGGCTCGCCTTGGCTTTGCCAACAGATGGGCCCTCGTGCTCATCGGGATCCAGAGCATCCCATGGGTCGCCTTCCTCATCATCATCTTCGGCGACACCAGCATCAGTCGGGCGATCCCTCAACTCCTCCGCTGTAAAGCTTTCCGGGGTCGAGACACTCGGTGCAGGCTTGTTCACCTTCTCCCGGAGAGAGTTGAGAACCTGCACAAACCTGACTGGAAGGTGCTCCATCTTAGGCGGGACATCGCGCATTGTAGCTTCACCTGCAGGGCGCCTGCGCTTGTACAAAGACAGGTTGTACTGAGGGATCAAAATGTCCGTCATGTGCAGCATGTGGAGAGTTGCCATGACATATCCGATCATCTCGCTTCGGTTGAGCTCGGTCTCGAATGCGTGAAAGTAGTCCCTGAGCTCAAGCCTCGGTGGAAGCATGTCATTCTTGATCCACCGAATCCGATCGTTGTCACTGGCAATCTCCTTGTGGAACCATTCTTTCAGACGTTCAATAAACGTCGTGAAGATGAGACTCAACCCATAAGTGAGCGGGTCGGGCTCGCCGATTAGGGCGGCCTGATCCACTCCCAACTCCTTGAGCTGATTGTTCCACCAAACAATGTTGCCTTTGACCCTGTCCATGATGGCATTCCAGTCACCCTGTGGTTCCCTCTGCCCCCAAATGGGAAGGGGTTCAACACCATGTTCCCCACAAATTTCATTCCCAGACCAAAAGATCACCGAAATAACCCTGATGGCTGATCCATGAGAAGAATATTTTGCCATCAGCTCCTTGGTCATGGAAATATTTGCTTTGCAGAGCTGTTGTAAATCCTTACCCCAGAGCATGTCATGACCGATTTCAAGAACCATGTCTGATTTTCGCAATCCCAGATCCTCCTTCAAGGTGTACTTCTTCAAAGTCTTACCCTTTCCAGTGATCAGAGCCAAAGTTGAATCGGAAGTCACCACATAGATGGTGGGCACGACGTCTACCGCCGGCCTTGATGTCCCAGGGACGTACTCAGTAGGCAAGCTCAGATCCCACAGTGAGTCATGTTCCAACTCGGACAGATGGCGGATCTCCTTTGCCCACGGCACGTTCGTCAGGGCGTCCGTAGACATTGACTGCGCAGTGAAACACTGCATAAATCCTGCAGCCAACTCAAGGTCTTCTGTTCTGTTGCCCTGTGCCAGGATGGTTGACGAAGCGAGGATCGTAGAAAAGATGTCCTCCCACCCTGCGTGCCTATCCCCCTGAACATCAAGGCACTTCCGAAAAGCAAGCCACTCCGACATGTTGCTCTGCTGGGGCACGGTCTTTAAACCGGCCGACTTGAGAGCCCGCACGTTCATCTTTTCAGCGATCGACAAGTTTGAATCTTCAGAACGTCGGCTCATGGCGGGCAAAGCTAACCTTTTCCTGTTCTTGGCGGTTTGTGCCCGGTTAGCTCTGGAACGAAAACAATCATGGATGAAGTCAGTCAACTTGAATGTGTAGTTCTCTGCAAGCTTCAGTGCAGTACCCCGGCTTTGACCATGA